TTTTTTTTTTTTTTTTTTTTTTTTTACTGGGGATTGAACTCAGGACCTTGCGCTTGCCAGGCAAGCGCTTATTCTACTGAGCAATCTCCCCAGGGCCAGGAAGAGAGTTTGTTCTGAAATCGTTATCTGTAACTTTTTCCATGACTTAATCCCAATCTGGTGATCTGGTGTGGGGTAAAGTGGGGCATACCTATTGGCTGGACAAATAGTTGGAGTAGAGCTTAGTGAAGTTGTGTATATGTATTGTAGTCTTCTCGTTGATGGCAAGATGTAAAAATAATGTCCAGTGCAGTTACGGGTGATTGGGAAGAGCAGACAAGGACCCCTTGGAAAAATCAAATGGATGTTCCTTACCTATGGAGCTGGAAGGCAGGCAGGCGGACTGTGAGATCTGATAGCTCCACAGCATTCTCAGGAGGGGGCATACTCTTTACCCTGAATCTTCCCTGTGGGTTTGCGTTACAGAGAACAGTGTCTGATTGAGGGAGGTCAGATCGGGCTTCTGCAGGGCAGGACTCTCCTTCTAAACATAGTCTCTTGTTTTTCTTTCTCTGAAAGGCAGGAGAAGTTCTGCATGTGGGCTTATCTGGATTTGGTCTAAGAACCTGCTTATCTGGGCCAGATACATTTTTTTACTCTCAGGATTGCATGCATACATGTTAAGATGAGAGGTAACTGCACAGATCAAGTGTGAATATAGTTCTCATTTATAAGCCCCCACCCTTCCCGGGACCCCGTGGCCTGGTTTTAGTATATTTAGAGGTTTAGCATTGCATCATCAGATTGGGGTCTGGATCCTGTATGGAAGCGTCTGGATTTTATATAGCTGAAACTTGGATCAGCTATGGGGTGCATCTCACACTGAGTTGGACTCTTGCTTGGTTCTAGAAGGGGTGCTCGGGAACAGGGCGTCATCTAAGCCAGCTCCCTGGGCTTGCCTTGCAGCCTTTCTCGGGCTTCTTGGGGCTGTCTCGGGGTCGCTGAGATGTCAAAGTCCTCTCCGACTCTTTGCCTTGGTCTCAGATGGCCAGCTGCTCTGATTTTAGTGGTGGACTATGTAGAAGGCCAAAGCAGTCGATCTGGGTTTTGGCTGCTTTTGGGGGGTTAGAGGTTCCTAGAACGCCTGGTTCCTTTTTTAAAAATAATTATTGGGGAACTGAGGGGCTCTAAGTCCAGCCACAAAGATGGCTTTCTGGAACCAAGAGGCTGACCCAGGGCTACACCTGAGTTTTATTCAGTGGAGGAGTGGCTTGAGGAGGAATAACTGAGAATTGTGGGAAGTGGGTGAGTACTGTGAGCTGAGCTGGGGCAGGGGGGCTACATTTACCTCTGCCGTATGCAGAGAAAGTAATTTGCATTATGCTGCTGAGCTAATATCTAATGTTTTGGGGGTCTAGTGCTCAGTCAAAATGGAGACAATCTCTCTTCTTTCAAGAACAGCTGTTAAGGTGGTCCTCCACAGTTCCCCCTTCTTTGCCCCCCCACTCCCCCACGGGGATTGAACTCAGGCCCTTGCGCCTGTCAGGTAAGTGTGTATTCTACTGAGCTGCCATCTCGGCCCCTTTTCCTTTCTTTGTTTTGAAGAAGCTGGAGCAGTGTCAGTTGTTCCTGGTTCCCTTCAGTCTTTCTGCCAGGAGCCTCTGATGTTCAAGTTATGCTTGGAACAAGATATACTGTGAAATATTGATACCAACAGCAACAATATTAATAATGCTTGTTACAATTAGAGCATTTTCTTTCTTTTCAGTACCAGGACTTGAACTCAGGACCCAGCACTTGCCAGGCAGGCACTGTGCTACTGAGCCATATCCTTGGCCTGTTAGCTTTTCTTCTTCACAAAGCCCCTTTAATGAATTTATGCTTCCTGATCTCACAACCTTCCTTAAGTGGCTATAAGGCCATAACTCCAGTTCTGTGATTACGAGGTCCAGAAAGCTCTGAAAGTTAACAGGTTTTATATAACTTTGCAGTAAACTCATTTAGTAGCAAAAGCTTGTCTGAGCCGATGTGAGGCTATATTTATCCTGCTTATTTTGAATATTCATGTTTTGCTGCAAAAATATTAATGTGTTTGATTACAGAGTGCTGCTCTGG